TCTGTACATATATAAAATATATATAGTTACATATGTATAACGTAGAAATGCCAACGATCTGAATAAATGCAAAACGCGCGTATATATACGACGTCGTTTCATCACCCTTCCTCTCCTGGCACAAAAACCCTCGACGCGTCGCAAAGTTAGAGGAGATAGTATACCGACCATCGTCGAGCAAACGCACGTCCAGCAGCATCGGTGATCCATGTCGCGCGGATTCTCACCCGCAACATACACACATACACACACATATATAATGCATAGGAGTACAAGCCGAGAGTACCATCTCGCCACGCGCGATGACCTCTCTGTCTCCACGTTTCTCAAAGCTCGTCGAGCGCGATATATACACACACGCGTACTGCGTGCGTGGAATTGTTGGCTGATTTTTGCAGAGGAGTATACGGCAGAGTGCAAAGTGTAGAATAAATAGAGATACGAATGCCATTCTATCCGTTACTTTTGAGAAATCATGCGGGGAGGAGGTTCCGCGCGGCAACAAACTCAAAGCGCCAAGTCGCACCCATCCGATCGTGTGCGAGCGCACGGATGAGAATGGCCATTGAATATCTCTATTTATCCAACTTTGTACTGCGCATGACGCTTTGTACACGGCACTCGTACATATATATATACGGGCACGTAACAAATTTTACATACGAGAAACCCCATCTATCATTCCAGGCCATCTGTAGCAGCTCGGGACAATTACTTTCTTTCGCTCGCTCGCTCGCGCGTGGGTTATCAAATTTGTCTCTTCCTCTCTCGCGACCTGTCCAATCGATATATATTTGTAGATACGTAATACGTGCGTATGATGAGAGAGCGACGATACGCGTGCACGCGAGGATAATCGTAGGTACGTGTTACATGCGGTTCACGCGAAGATGATATTAAAAAAATTGAAATTGAAATCGAGGCGGGGTAGGCCGAGCGATACGCCGCGTCAAGAGCCGCGTGTAACGTGGTTAATTCCGAACGAGCTGCGACAAAAAGATGAAAGATTCGTCGCCCGCATCCTCGTCGTCCTCTTCGAGAGAGTCTTGTCTTTTCGTCCTCATTAAAGAAAAAATTAATTTCAACAGTTTGTGCTCAATTCTATTCGATTCTCTCTCTCTCTCTCAGCTGAATGACACGATGGATGTAACGATTATGACGAAGGAGGTGGAGAATTACTAGAAGAACTTTTTTTCCGGTTATTACGAAACAGATTGAATCGGAATTTTTCTACCCCCCCAATGGGGAAAGTGGGGAGGGATGCAGTACGATCGACACGTGCTCATTCCCGAGCGAGAATCGCGCGACATATCGCGAGTTTTTTCCCCTTTACGTTTTTCAGGTGCTTATCGAGACCAGGCCTGCAGCGAGATCAGCCGTATAATTACCCCGCGAGAGAGACACGATTTCGATCGAGCCTGCAATATTATTGATATTACATCGCGCGGCCATCGTCGCGCAACTTGGAGAGAGACGCATGACCGTGGCGCTACACCGCTTGCAAAAAAAAGAAATAAATAATAATAAATAAATAACAAAGGTAACTGGCGTTACGCATCGCGGACGCTATGCGCGGTCTCGTACATACTACATAATGTGTATGTGTGTGTGCGTGTCTTTGCCACGAAGATAATAATCCACGATTGTGTCGAAGGGCAATCCATCCGCGGTATCCAAGCAGGAACCAAGCAAAAGACGTCGCGTATTTCAAACATCATCGCAATCATCGCGCGCGTATCCCTCTCTCTCTCTTTCTCTCTCTCTCTAGCTAGCACGAGAATCACGTTACGCGTCTGTGCGCATAATCGCAGCATCCTTGACGAAGAAGATCCGTGTATACGTCGTGCGTATGTATAGCGCATCTGCGTCGTCTATTCATCCGAGACGTCCCATTCCGACCCATGCGACGCGAGAGCTCGTGAGATACATACGCGCGGCTACAACCACGTTGCCGCAGCGGCATACGTCGCGTATCACACGCCGTGTGTGTATACGTCGTGCGTATATACCGCGTCTGCGTCGTCCATTCGTCCGAGACATCCCACTCCGACCCATGCGACGCGAGAGCTCGTGGGATACATACGCGCGGCTACAACCACGCTGCTACAACGGCGGCGTCTTGGCGACATACGTCGCTACATACCAAACGCCGTGCGTGTGCGCATTCTCCGCAACGACTCGTTTAGAGTATCGGCAAGACAGAGAGTCGCGATCGTAAACCGCGCGCACGCACGCTTCATCTCCCTCACCACCACATTCTTGCGAGAGCGCAAGAGTCTGATGAATGAAACCATCTCTCTCTCCTCATCGAGATCTCGTATGCGTTATCGTGGAGAACGCCGCGCGATACATGTTCCAGATAAACGCGCGCGCCGATCGCGCTCTACCGCGTATACGTATATATAGATCTGTCTCTCTGAAACGGCGCTAATTTTGAAAGCTCGCGCGCGCTGATCGCACTCTACCGTGTATACGTATATATATAGATCCGTCTCTCTGAAACGGCGC